TAATAATTAATTATTAAATTATTAAAAATATTTAAATTGTAACAAATTTAGAAAATATTTAATACTCAGGAGAATTCTTTTCTTGCAAAGTTTCTTTCACTCTTGGAAAAGTTTCTTTTTTGTAATACATTTATCCCCTTCTGCATAATTCGACATAAATCTTTTATTTCTATATAAACTATTTCACATCGAAGTCTTAAATTAGATGAAGCATTAGTACGAGCTATTTATGGCAGTTTAGGATAAATTACCGCAGAGCGGTAACTCGCGTTCAAGTGTCTATAGATCGTATAACACTTTGTAATGCACCAGTGGCGGTTCATTTGGATATTAGGCCATAGTAACGCGTATCCCCAGTTACGAGATGTGAAACTTTGCCCGGTTAATCGAATCAAGCAATCCCGCTCGAGATGCTGCGCCGAGCTATGCTTTAATTAGTATCCCAACCTCGACCGCTTAATTCACTCGCATTTTGACCTTGAATGTCGGTCGAGTCTCTTTGTCTTGCCCTTAACGCGAATACCGTGACTCTCGTTTTTTCTCGCATCACAATAAAATTTCCATTTAAAAGTGAAATACTCGTTTCTTTTTCCCTTTTTCGAATTCCGCCGTTTTTGATTACGAGACGCAGACGTGGAAATAGGTACGCGACTCAGAGGACGATGTAAAAATTTATTCGCTCTCGCCGTACTTATTTTGTCCTTATCTAGACGTCGACGCGATGGGATAAGTACCGACGAAAGAAAAAAAGGCAAAAAATAAGTAAGAGAAAAAGGAAGAAGGAATTGCACGGGGAGAAGACGGAAGCACGAAAACGTAAAGAGACCGGATGAAGGTGGAAACGAGGAAGACGAAGTTGGGGAAAACCCGGCGAGCATTAAGACCAGATTGAAAATTGAATTATTAACGAGCGACCTGCCGCCCGGCATGTAAATCATACGGAAATATTACTTTTCTTTTCCGAGGGAAAAATGTGGCTCGAACGCGAGACATCATCCGGATGCAGTTTCGTTTTACGAGCAATCTTCTATCTTCTTTTGTTTCTTTCATTTTTCCTTTAATCTTGAATTTCTTTATTTTTTTTTCTTCTTTTCCTTTTTCTTTGGACCATTCTTTCATATTGGTTAAACGTTTCTTGTCCAATTTTACGCCACGTCACAAGTTATCGTTCCCACGAGATCCACTTGCGTAAAATGCAGCGTACATTACGCATATTACGGGTGTTCGCTTATTATCACATCTAATTTGTATCGCTCGTCGACAAACAATATTTGGAACGACGTGAATTACGTGAAACAGGAATTTTTAATTATGTTATTCTAGCTACTTCTTTAGTTTCTTAATTTCAAATATTTAATTTCAAATATTTAATAATTTTAAATTTATATAAAATTAATACGCAGCATTCACGATTGTTCCATCTCCGAAACTTAGACTTTGCTGTCTTCAACTTTGCTATCTTTTTTACTTTTACTGGGTATAGAGCTCATTCTACAATGCATAAACGTAGTCATAAGTAGTTGCAGTTGTAAAAATTGGCAAGTCAAATATTTCTTCTCATATTCAACTGTGATTGATCAATTGTTACAACTGTAACCACTTATAATTATGCTTATAATTACGCAATTGCAGAATGGGCCTTATATACAGAAAATATTACTATTGAGAATATCATCTCGAGTAGTATCCTGCGAAATAAACACCCTGTACATGCTGTTCGTAATTCCAGTCCGCTGTTTTATTCACTTCCCCGGACAGCTAATATACCTCGTTTAATTGAATACCAAATATTCCCCCATCAGCACGGCATGATATTTGTATAGAAGAGCATCGCCGATTCGCACGGACGTGACCGTAACTTCTTCCCTCATGCCCTCGGGATAATTTTCGCGAAATTTCTCGAGCATTGTTAGAACGAAGCGAGAATGCAGTAGCACTACTGCGACCCGCTTCCAATATCCGCGAGCGGCACTGACAGATGCGCCTGTACTGCAGCAAACCCCGACTACGAGGCAGTCACGAACGGCTGGTGCGCCAGGCGACACGTTGCAAACGCAGAACGTGGTGAATGGGAGAGTTGGAAAGTTATTCGGGACGCGTCACCATTACCGCCGGCAACACGCCCCTTTTTGCGCCCAAATCAATTTCTACAAGAATTCTACGCCGATACTTATTTTTTTTTTTTTTTTTAATTCGGGACGCTGACCCAGTGCAACTTCTTTAGAGAGAAAATTAGCAAAAAAGATAATTATATTATAATAAAAGATACATCTTATGCTTCGTTGTAACATTTCGTTATATTTTTGCATGAGGAAAGAATAATGTTGCTCAAAGATATAAAATTTTGCTGGATGTAGATTTGAAAATATAATTTCAGACCATCAAAACAATTTTGTTAGAAACTTAAAAATAATAAGCAATGCTGCAAAAAATTTGATATTCTACAAAAATAAACAACCATTTAAAATTCTAATAAAATTATTTTTAGATTTATATATCCAATAAAATTTTAGATCCTTCAGAAAAATATTTCTTTTCAAAGCAATATTTGTGGTATTGCTTTGAAAGTACTAAAGAAAGAAAGAATCCCGTAAAAATAATAATGAGCAATGGAAAGAAAATGAATAATACGCAGTTCAACGGGCTCGTATTTACATGTGTCGCTTTATAATATTTAGAGAACTGTTTTTACTTGCCTATTAAGGTACATAAAATTACACAGCTGATAATGGCTTATTGTGATAAAAACAGACGATGTAATTTATTATTGCGGGAAAAACAAAAATACTGTACATTCCCCATTGTTGTTCTCATTTCCATAGCATACACGTTGCAATATGTCATAGTCAAAGCCCGGTATTAATGATCGCATACGTACTCAGAGACAATTACGCGTGATTTGTTAGGCGACTATAATTTAAACGGTACTACGAATGATACTACAAATATTTCGCGCTTGCAAATGGTTCTGCAATCGATGGCCGATTAACACGTAACGTTTAAAGCGTACGAGGATAACGCCGCTGGTCTTTGTTGTATTTTTTCGTCGTTTCGGATAAACTGATGAAGAGAGTGTTTGTATTTTGTATTCCGATGCGCGATCGTAGGCAGTGTAGATCGTAAAAACGAGTTGCAAAAATCTGTTGGTGCAGGCGGCCTGCGGCAAAGAGGAAAATCAAAAAGTTACACTTTTTACGCATGTCATATTTTTTCGATGACACTCGACTTTCAATCCTTTTCAATCAAAGTTGTTATTTTTATTTATGCGTTTTTATTTATTGCACTGCAAGCTTATAACTCCATTAAAATGCGCATACGAAGATTATTAGCATTCTTTTAATGCTATGTTTTTTAGCAATATTATTATGAGATATTATATGAAATAACATTGTGCATTTATATTAACTGAAAGACTTGTTCTGTTATAGATAAAACTAAAAAATTATAAAATAATAAAATAGAAAAAAAGCACTAATATTATTTTCAATAGAAACACGTAACACGTAGCAGCAGTTTCATTACAGTATCCAAAAATGTTATATTTTTTTACAAGCAATTATGAAATATTTGTATCACGGAAAATGTTATTTCCAACAAGTCCATCGAGCAAGTTAAAAAGTTAGCTTTTAACGTTTAATCAATATGTACATTTAAAAAAATTTAAATTTTAAAAATTAAATAACATTTTAATTCTTCCAATGGAATATTCTATTAAATTACTCTTTTTATAATTATATGAGGTTATTCGTCGGAAGACCTACAAGAAATAAGTGTAAGATGATATATGCACGGACGGACAAATAGTTAATGAGACTTTGTTGAATTTACTACATATATTTGTGCGTTTCTTGATAAACTATATAAATAGTGAATTATTGATTCACGGAAACTATCGTTTCATCGAAAGCTGCCATGTCGACAGAAAAGGATCCCCCCCCCCCCCCCCCGGTGAATGAAACGCTTTTCCCGCCATAGCAATAGCTCCGGGCGAATATATACGCGTAACTATAGAAATAACGAATATATGTATGGTGCAGTTATGTAACAAAAATAGGTTCGTAAAAAGTCATCGGTCGGCCGCACGGGAATCGACATTTCCGCTTCCGGCGCATCGGACGACTAACAAACGCGAGTACAAAATGGTCTGCTCTGCTTAATTGAGCGAATAACATGGAAACGATTCGTCAAGTGATATCGCATAAAGGTATTATAAAGTCTAAATGGATTACGTACAACTATGTGAAATCATTCGGGAGACGTGCAGAAAGAACAGAAATATAGCACAAGTTTGAAGTTTTATATATTACATAATTTTATTCATTGTATTCAAACTGCGTATAACAAAAGTTAAAATATTAACGCGCACGCGTGCATGACTAGGTACATTTTACAAATTTATTTTTTCGCTACACATTCTCTCAATTAAGTTGCAGGTGTGTAACTTATTTCTAGCGTACATACATAATGAATGGAAAAAAGCAAGTAAAATATATACACATGCAATAAACTCATTTAAATGATTTGGACATTTATAATAAATGAATGTACACTATATTACAGAGAGAAAGTGGCGAAATAACGATTCACTTGGAATTAATTTCATATTTTATATAATTACAATTAACGTTTTATCGCGATTACGAGGGCACTGTGTCAAGATTGCTTTCACGCATCACACAAGAATTTTACCGAGACAGTCTAAATCCCTGAATAAATAGGCAGACATCACGCTACACTTAATTAGACTCGATGAAATTGGAGATATATTAACCTAATTGGGTCACATTCAAGTTTTAATTCAATTTGAATGTTGATTCAAATGATGTTGATTTTCACTTACTATTGTTTTAAGCTGATGGCAGAGAACGAGATATAACTATCGTGGTCGTGAACAGGTCACGTCAGGTAAAACAAAGAAAAACGTATACGTATACGTATACGTAAGTCGTGAAAAGTTATTGTGTGGATGGAATTACGTTATGTTTTTCTTTGCCTTATTTTACGTTTCCACAATTACGATACGTTCTCGTTTTTTACTTTAATTCAATTAAGTTTACACCGGATTGTCGAGAGCAATGATTTATAATGATGTGCATTTCTACAGTTGACTGACAATGAGAAACGGCATGACTTGCGGTTGTACATGATGTACATATGTGATGACTGCTGCGTCAATTTACGTTGACGACTAACACGTACTATTCAGCTCTCAGTTGAATCGAGACGATTGTCTATCCTGTGTATTCCAGGTATTGTGAGTATATCCTGGTTGAGCCTCGGAAACTCCCTCGCGATCCTGGCCATCTGGACTCATCCATGTGTTCTAAATACTTATCTTACCCTATCTCCGCAAGTCCGGAAGATTTTTCTCGCATTGAGAAAGCATCGACCAAATTTTAGCTTCTTATTGTCCGTTAATTCGTGCCTGTCCTTGCCATCAAATTAGGACTGCTGAAATATAAACAGCAGAAGAATGTGTCGGTTAATGTTCGGGGCGTCATTTCAAATCGTGATTGCGATCAAGCCAAAAGCCGCAAATCGAATCGCGGAAATATTCAGCGCACGATATGGGAAAATGAGGATGTTTGAGGATCGCTAATAATCATTGACTGAATAACGGCTATTGACCGCTTGCCGTGCGGTTAATAAATAGCGGTATTTCGCAAATAATATTCTTACCGTTGCTTTAATTAAAACGAATGAAGAGAGCTCTTTTTGCTCACGACAGTTTATAATTAAAATTAAAAAATTTAAAATTTTCTGAACTACTTGCAACAAAATTGCATAAAAATAATTTTTCCAAGATTGGAAAGTTCTTTTTTATATATATAAGAACCAAAAAAGTCGTACACTTCTTACACGAAAAGAACAGTTTTACCAAAGTGTCTAAAAGTTTAACTAGATACAGATCTAGATATAGAAAATAATTTTGTTTGGGTCATCAAAATACTTAAATTAAGTAGGACACTTCAACTGGCTGTTATGGTAGAAGTTAAAACTTTTTGTAGCATTGTCATCAATGTTTAAGCGTTCTACGTAATTATTTTGATGATCCAACAAAATTATTTTCAGATCCGTATCTGCATCTAGGCAAATTTTTATTTCAGCAAAACCGTTCTTTCTATCTAGTAATAGATATAATTTTAGACGACGATGCAAAGTAATAAGACAGGTATTCATAGCCAGATCTTATATTCAAGATCGTCTAAAATACAGTCTTAAGAAATCACGAACCAATCAGAGGACTGTATTAGCATCTTAAGACATTACTTAAGACTCTTGAAATAAAAACGGACTATGAATACCGCCCTAAGAGATGTAGATTCACACTCGGATTTAAGGATCATTTTAATATTCTCGCACTATTATACGCTCTCAAAGTACTTTTACGAAACGATTTCATTTTTATTCAAAGGAGGGTTGTAAACGCAGATAAAATCGCAGTCCTCGATGAAACAAGAAGATATGTAAGAATAAAATACAATATCGTCAGAACGAACGGCTTCTTTCCTTATCCACTTTAGAGCTCGATGCATCGACGATCGGGTAAACCGACGACATTAAATCCAGCTCTCCGGTAACGTCTCGTAAAACCAGTTTTACTGAACTTCCCTGCCCACCTAGCGATTTATCATCGACCTTTATGGCCGGCCCTTACAAGATAATCCACGTCATGCGAAAAGTCTTGATGCATGGCGTTTACATGATAAAGCCACATGAGCCTCGTTTCTTTCGTATTTTAAGGGGTCATTTAAAGTAGCACGAAAATGATTGTTAATTTCGTCGAAACGTCGAAACGTCGTTAACAAGAATTATTGCTGAAACGAGATATAGTTCTGGTTACGCGTAAGATATTTTTACGCAGATACGCAGATATTTTTTATCTTACTTTAAGGACTTTAGAACATATTAAACAGGATTCCGCAATGATTAATTCATGTTACTTCAATTATATTCGAAGTGTATAATGACAAAAATTGTATTAATTGAAAATAATTAATTATAAATATTTTATATATGCACAAAAAACAACCATTTAATGAATTATATATATACTTCTCTGTAATATTTACACTGTTAAAAATTTAATGTATTTATAACTGAAAAGTACATTTGTGTACATGTACATGAAATGTAATGTATTTTTCATATACTTAATGTACACATTCGTTACATTTAAGTAACTACTGTAATTTAATTTTTAGTTAAATCATTCATTACTTTTAATTTCGTTCATAACCATGAGCTTTATTTACATGTAAAGGAAGCTCGTGGTCACATTTTTAACAGTGTATATAATAATAAATAATGCATATTTTAAGATTATATTTAAAAGTGTTTCTTTGATACTCATGTGCCAAAATTCCTATTTTTTATGTTAATCATATGTATCTAAATTTAAATATTGCACTTTTTGCTTATACTGTTAACTGCACAATTTGCAAATGTTTCATAGGCCTAAAAACGAAGAAAATCAAATGTCATAAAATAGATCCGATACTCATACTGTTATAAATTTCTTTTAACAATTGATATTCGCATTTCCCAGACATTTTCAACTATTATACATTGTAAAAATAAAATCCAACTGAATTAATGTATAACATAAATATAATAGCGCCAAGGATCGAATCAAAATTAGATGTTTTGAATAATTAATATTCTTGATTTATGAATTTTCAACTATTACACATTGTAAAAAATTATTTATAGCAATATTTTGTACAACTTTACATACATAATTTTAACTTTATATAATCTTATTCCCCGAATTTTAATCTTCAGAATAAAAAATCATTCATTTACGTTAACTTTAAGCAAAGATTAATTTAAAGTATCCTGGATTCACAAATACCAATTAAGGAAATTTCGATTAGGGTTAATTATTCCGTCTCACCTCTGTTTTGTGGGGATCCACGCTGTTAAGTGCGATAGCTTCAGGTACAGGTTCTTCTTCCTCGATTTTTTCAGGAACACCGAAGATAGATTTGTACATGTATGAGGAAATCAGAGCGCCGCCGATTGGTCCAAACCAATAGACCCACTGATGCCTCCACTGATTATTCCATAATGCTGGCGCGAACGACCTCGCGGGATTCAGGCTGCAACCGGTGTAAGGTCCAGTCGCGGTCGCTAGCACAATTACCGTAAAACCGAACCTAATCGGCACTGAGTCTGTATTTTTCTCGTTTCTTGGATCCCAAACAGAGCACACTACCATCATCAGAATGGCAGTCGCGATCCCTTCGACAATCAAGCCCTGAATCGTAGATAGATCAGCGTGTAAACTAGTCACGCAAAACATATCGGCTTGATCAACCTTACCAGCCGTCAGATTATCCTTCGGTGTCACTACCTAGAAAAAATATATTGTCGAAATAATGTTACAGATGATAGTTGCATTTTGCATTACAAATGAGATAAGTTAAGACAGTTTTTTCTTGAATAAAATTAAATTGTATAAATTAAACGATTAATTTTTTTCGTTTATCTTGTATATTATATATGTGATAATAATGAATTTTATTATGGATAAAGTGAAACAAAATAAGATTTCATTACATATAATAAATAAAATAAATGTTGACCTAATGCTTAGCATTTACTTTTATTCACTATTTAATATATTACGTAATATTTATTATATTACGAATGTATAAGGAAAATAATATATTATTTTATCATGTATAAAAAATTAATTAACAATTTATTAAAAACGCTTGTTATTTATAAATACAAACATTTTAATGAAAATTTAAAATATATTTGTTTTTATTTTATTTTGTATGTTTTACAAAATAGTATTATAAAATACGGTTGGCTGCTATATAAAAATAGACTTCGAAGCATAAAATGTATATGAAGTTTTTATTTGAAACCAATATTTATTTACTTTATCTTGAAACGTTTTTACGTTTGTCTCCTAACAGAATTGAATGATTTATATTCTGCCTCATTATTTCTGAATAGATTCATGTTGTCCCCAATCACTCAACTGTAAGGAATACATTTTTCAATAATAGAAGAAAGAGGTAATTGTATTGCTCATTTTGCTTGCTTTATCAGGACGGCCGTGTTAATATTCTACGAGAAACAAATATCGCAACAGTAAGGCTTTTCTCCGATTACATGAGAGCATTAATTATTAACTGACCGGCACGTGTACTGATTAAACAAAGGTCTTGATCCATGTTTCATTAAGCATTGATATACAGTAATCATTAATAATTAATATCCCTATTTTATTTTTATCTCATTATGTAACCTCATAAACGTCACCAACATATTTGCCTCGTTCAATCATCTCCTTTTCATTGAAATACAATATAACCGAGCAAAATGCAAATCGAACGTTTTAAAAAATCCACATTCTATGTATGTCATTCTGTCAACATTTAACTTAACATATGACTGCGGGTATTTTGAAGATTATCAATACGACCAAAAAATATTTCTATATCAATTTCTATATTAAACACAACAACTTCGCCTAGTTGTGTCACAACAAATTTAATCATTACACATTTATTGTATTACATATTTATTACATATTTATTGTATTATTTTTATTTGTAAGTAAACATATATATAATTAAAAGGAAATTTAAGATTTAGAAATTCGCGCGCGAGAGAAATTGTATATTTTAAATAATTTATTTATCTGAAAAAATGGAAATTAATACTCCGTGAATGATTTTATTTCGTGCGCATCATAAATTTTATTATAAACATGACTATAAAATTTTATAAAGAGTAAAGAAATGTACCCATTATCCTGAATTACATCTATAATTACATCTATAATTTACGAGTTTTAACACATAAAATTCTCTTGCTTTTTTATAAAGAAAAAATAAGTTTAAAGTTACGGCATAATTTATACATTTTTCTTTACGTAAATTGCTAATCTCTAAATTCAATTTTGCTAAATCATGATTTAGTTCAATTGTAATGTTTGCGACAATTATTACTATATCTTTTTATATTTGCACGTAATTAGTCGTAATTAATTCAATGAAAGAATAATTAGATTTGCTTTTACCGACCTTCAACATACCGTAACCCAGAATGGCACCTATCATTTGTGACACAAAGTAAACTAAAGCTTCAGAAATTGTTTTTTTCCCAAGAATGACAGCTCCCACAGTGACAGCTGGATTAATGTGAGCTTGACTGAGATGACCAATGCACTGAATCAGAGAGAAAACACAGAATCAGAGAAAATTTTTAATTGTTGCTGCGTCGACTCTAATATTATGCTTTAAGGTATGCCCAAAATATTCGAATTGTGATCCAAATATAAAATTATGAAGAATAAAAATTAATAAAATACTATATATATTAGAAAAATTCGCACATTCCACTCGCAGCATGATTCGCAGAACTTTATAAAACTAGCAGGATCAAATCGGCAGAATGAAATCGAACCTATCGGAATTTTTAGTATTGTCATTTTATATTAAAGAAATTAATGATAATTTTGTATCATGTGTATATTTCAAAAAAAATTGTGACGATGCTAGTTTAATATTAAGCTGACAGGATCAATTCAAAATAAAAGAAAAATAATATCAGAAATCAATAGGATTGAATTTATATTATTTTCTACCAAAAACAATTCTATATTATGTGTCATTTCCAAGAAGAAAACAATGACGCTGCTGATTTAATATTTAAGCTGGCAGGACCATAAAAAAACACAAGGAAAAAAATCAATACAACTGAATTTATACTAATTTGTACTATTAAAAGTAAGTTAATATTTTACATATTTTCTTTTTTTAAATAATTTTATTAGTAGGTATATACTCACAATCTGTGAAGCATTCCACTAATCAAATCGAGTATCTTCGAAACATCATTTTATTTTATTTTTTTAAATATGCTAACGTATTCTACAAATAAAAACATGAGACATGTGTTTTGCAACAAAAATTTGAATTCACGCTTATAAGTTCCAGAAATTCATAAAAAATATCGGTTATGGGAACATTCAAATTATTATATCATCGAATATTAGTCGTACAAAAAATAGAAGAGCTTTTAAAAATCTTAAATGTTCTATGGATGAATTATTTTTAATTTATTATTTTCATATAAATATAATAAATCATTTTCCATTTGTTCACAATTTTTATCAATTTTTCATTATCAATTTACCAATTAAAAAATTTCATAAAATATTATTGTATTCCCGTTTCAATTATGAAGTAGCCTATAAATTTCAAAAGATATTTCATAGATTGTAAGTATATTAATAAAGTCATTTTAAGGAGAAAATATGTAAAATATTAACTTACTTTAAATTGTATAAATTAATACAAATTCAGTTGCGTTAATTTTATTCTTGTGTTTATGGTTCTGCCAGTTTAAATATTAAATTAGCACCAGTGTTTTCTTGGAAATGACACATAATATAAAATTGTTTGGTAGTACAAAATAGTACAAATTCAATCCTATTAATTTCTGATATTATTTTTCTTTTTTTGTTTTATTTTAAATTGATTCTGCCAGCTTAATATTAAGCTAAACAACACCACGATTTTTTTCAAAATGGCACACAGTACACAGTACAAAATTATTCATTATTAATAATACGATTTAGTAAAATGACTACTAAAAATTCCGATAGGTCCAATTTGATTCTGCTGATTTGGTCTTGCTAGCTTTATAGAGCTGATTCTCAGCACAAGCGACGTTTTGTTGTAATCTTGATTATGGAGACAAGTGAAAGGCGGCATATAAATGTCAGATTAGAGATTCTACAAGAGAATTTGTATCAAAAAATATAGATAAAAGGAGATAACAATGTAGAAAAAAACATGACATAACGATATTACTGAAATAATCATTTGTTATAGCTATCTGTTTCTTTCTTTGCTTCTTTCTTTCCGAAAATGTAAAAATTAAGCTATTTGAAGTATAGCGGATGGATAACAAATGAGGAACAAAAGGCTAATTCGCTTTGACTCTGAGTGTAAACGATTAAGCACATCTTTGGTTTATACATTGATGTTATATTTCGTAATACATAATAAATACGATAAAGAAATTAATTGTAGTTTTTGATAGAAATATAAGAGCGAGATAATTATTGTTAATTGTTAATTTAATTTCCGATGTTATAAAATATGAAAATATATGAAAATATATCATATGCCAATCATCATTTTCAGTTATTGTAGATAAACTATAGAAATAAATAAAGATTTCCTCTCGGGATATATGGATGCATCAAAATTATATCGTTTTGAATTAATTCGAGCCGCGAATGTTATTTAATCACGGAAAATTATACTAGATAATGTTTGCACGTAATTGTCATTGCTGTTATTAGTTTATTCAATATTAAGCTTTACTATAATCTTCTCTTTTTAAATGAAGAATTATAATAATATAGGCATTATGACGAAATAGATGTGCAATCTTATTACAGTGACGTAATGATATGAATTTAATAAATATGATACAATGATATAATTTAATAAATATTAATATCTGAATGTAATTATAATTATATTATAGTCATAATACAATATACTCCAAGTATTTATCATTATAATATGGTTCAGTATAATATAATGTTTATTTGTGCTATAAATATGATGCTATTATAATAAAGTATTGAGAGAGAGAGAGAGAGAGAGAGAGAGAGAGAGAGAATTCTTAAAAGAAATATTGTAATTGAAACGCGGATACATGTACACGTATAATAGTACGCTGAGAAAAAAATATAGTTAATTTTAATAAATATTTAGTTCAATACTGCCAACTAAACATTTACTTACAGTAAATATTTGTTCAATAAAAAAAATGATTGTTAATTAACATTTCTTGTATCAAATAAATATATCTTTATATTTAATATTTAGTTGGCAGTATTTAAATATTTATTTAAATTGACTATATTTTTTTTTTTTAGTGTATAGAAAAGAAAGATTATAAAGAACATACATAATATTGAGTCGTCATATTTTTTATCAAATTTAAAATGCAAAAATAAAGAAGTAATGGAAATAATCGTCGTAATAAATAGAAAATAATCGTCAAAGATTACCTACTGACCTGAATTACAATCATAACTGTTAAACCAAATGTCACCGTTATCTGTAAATGAAAAGGCACGACACCGAGACCAGCAATACAACCCATACATCCCAAGAACACTAGCATAGCTGTACCGATCAGCTCCGCCAATCCGACGATGAGAGCATTCTTCATAGTACCTTCTCCTTGCATCCATTTTTTCAATCCTAAAACATTTCTTTAATTAAAAAAAAAAGAACTGTATAACATACCTTTTCTTTAATTACAAAATTAAATATATAGTAATTGAAATGACGAATTTCACTCAAAGAATTAAATAATATCTAATATAATTTTGATTTTCACCGTTTATTGTATAGCACTGATCTCAAGATTTATCCTTTTCGTATTTTACATTTTATAAAATCCCTTTTTAAGAAACAATGCAGCGTTACATATGGTTACATCTGTACTTCCCAAATTGTCATCATTTACAGAAAAGAGGAGAGAGAAGAGATCGTCTTTTACAACAAATCTTAATTATCTTGATAGCTGTCATCACTTGATGACTTAGAGCATGATCGCGTGATAAAATCAAACATTGCTTAATGTAATTACATCACTTACGACGATTCCGCATTTTCGACACACACCGTGTTGAACAAACATGGACAACTCGCAACTACTTACTGACGGAATAACTTTCACGCTAGGTACCGGTTTGATATCGCCACTCGAACAAGGTCGACGTACGCGATATCGATGTACATCGATACTTTGCAAGTCGATTGTTAGTTGGAGGAAAAAACAGAGCTCATTTTATATTAATGTAAACGTTGTTTTCTACGCGAAAGTGAGAAATATAAATAAATCTTTGATTATATGTCGAGTGTTACACGTTATTAAATTTGCTTCAAATAACGCTTCTTTTTCATAAAACCTGTACAATTAAAGAAATGTTTTAAGAAATATATATATCGTCGATATACGTTAGACTTCCCACAAATTTTAAAATTGCTTGTATAATTAATACGATCTATCTTGAATATGAAGTGGTATATAAAGTGAAATTTAAAAATTTATGGAATCTTTTATCTTTTGCGCTCAACTTTCTTCAATTTTTCTGTTAATCCATTAAATCCTAAGAGACTACTACGCATTTTTCTGTTTTTAAATCCTTGTATAATTTAAATCCTAATCAAACTTATTTATTGGCCTTTTAATTCTTATTGTCAAAAATTTTAGATGACTATTGGCGTTTAGAGAAAAGTCGCTCTTTCCGAAAAATTTAGTTAATAGAATGAAATGTCTAAAAAAAAAATAAAATGTTAAAAATAGAGATCTACTAGGACTTAATGGATTAATAGTATATTTATTTCAACTTTGAAACACGTGTATATAAAATTGATTTTTCTAAACTTTCAAATGATTGTATCTAGGAAAATTTTTACCAGATAATAGTATATAAAAAATGAGATCCCACAATATGTAATCCCTTTTTCTCTCTCATTTTTCAAAGTAAAGAAACGTGCTTTTTTATCACATGGCACATACGTACCGCTATAAAAAATTGCAAGTGCGCTTGCGTAATTTATGTCGAGGCATTGTTATAAATTTTGCGACAATGATATATTGTACTTAACATTGCCATATACAACTATACATATATGTATATATCAGACGCAATTAGATACGTGTAACGTCTTGGTCTTTCAATATTGATCTTCTCTTCGTATTCTCTCTCGTGTTTCTCAATCTGATAAGAGGAATGTAAATTATCGTAAATTTACGAATTCTGCCAATCAATTAACGTTAACAATAATCGTCGAGCGAACATTAGTATCTGAACGCAAGTATTTTCCGGCGTTAATTATTCTAATTGAATAATTAAGCGCATAATTACTGGATCAACGAAATGAATAATTTAAAGTTTTTCAAAGGAATAAATAGAATACTTTAATTAGCTAATTTTATCCTAATAATATAGTTTAATTTATCGGTTATTATTTTTATACAAGTAACTATTTATTTATCAAAATTTTCGACAAATATTCTAAAATATTTTGAGCTACAATAATGACCTTGAAATTTGTTTAATATAATTTTTCAAAGTGTAATTGTCAATTAGATATGTATACAATCGTATTTTTTTGCTGTTTCGAAAAAATATCATAATTTTTTAATTATTTGAAAAATATGATAATGATTTTTTAATTATTTCGAAAAACAATGATTCTTGAATTATATAATTACTATGAAAAATTCTAATAACTTATATTATTAGAACAAATTTTCTGATCGAAGTATTTTTACGCACAAATGTAGCATATATCTAATCGACAGCGATGTCTATTAATGTCATATAAATAACGAAAACTTCATAAATGACAAATATATTAATGGATAGAATTGTCAAACACTTAATGGAACGAACAACCAATACGAATAAAATAGAAATTTATATTGATGTTAATCGAAATGGGAAAGGTATTGTAATTCATGAATAAATCTGTTGTATTAATATAATAGATACAATCGAGATGTATAGAGTAAAAATTAAAATTTAATGAAATAGTGTCAAAGTGACACTTAAATATCATTTTTAAATGCTCGTCGAAAAATTTAGTTATGTAATGACCGACATATCACATTAAGAATGGAATTTTTCAAATATCAGAAACTATATATTATTTACTTGTGATTTATAAAATCATTTATATCAATCAAAGCTGAATCTTTTATGATTTATCCTTTTGAAAGGTAGGATTCGCAGAAGTGTAAAGTATTAACAACAGTAAATAACCTTTTGTTTAAAGTATAAGCAGCTACATCAATTTTATTTGCTGTTAAAAAAAGAAATATAAAAATCGTTTACGATCAGAGTATTTTTTCATAAATTTTTAAATCTTTTCTATAAAGACAAAAGAAAAATATTTTCATATAAAACTCTTGTAAAATGTTTTATCCAATAATTTTTATAGCTTCAAAATATTGTCTAATTTTGATGTTTTAAAAAATGTTTAAAAAATGTTAATTTACACTTATTATATTTAAATAATTCTCGCATTATATATATTCTCGCATTTAATTTGCATGGTATATTATGCAAGATTATGCTTTCTTGCATATAACATTACAAAAAAATGATTATAATTTTACTCAATATTATTGGTCACGTATAGGTCAATGATAAAATATTTGAGTTATATTCCCGATATTGTGCAAGACAGGAAAGATTTAGCAGTTGACAACTCCACTTTCAGAACCTGTCGATAACACTTATCCGGTGATAGTGAACAGATATCGTGTGATAAGGACAGACAAATATATTTTTACGAGAAATGACAACTTTATACATTTAAAATTGGGCATTATTGTTATTCATATTTCCGCTCCAAGTATTCTTCGCTCGCGTATGACAGAATGCATACATATAGATGATATGTATAGCTAGGTGCAATCTAATATGTGTATGATGCAGATCTGTTCGACGATTAATTGTTTCGATTCATGCACGCCCAATAATCTTCGGCCATTATATATTTCCACGAAGTTCTCTCCTTCGGCGTAGATTATTCGATTGTTTGAGTTCCCATGCTTCAAGCAGAAACGTAATTACATTTCCATCCAACTATGTTTAATTTATCACCGATGAATTTGATACGCGAGTTTTTGCAAAACACTGTAAAAAGTATCAAAGAAATATATTTAGAGATTTATAGCTCTATAAATTCTTATTTACATTTTAAAAAATTCTTATTTACATTTTAAAAAATTAACAAATGCTAATAATTATTATTTGCGAACGCTTAGTAATCATTAGATTAAATAATGGGTACTTTACTCAAAACAATTCTCTTTTACGTTTAGGTAACAGAGTCTGCAATTAAGTATACATCTGATACATATACTTAATTGCAGACATAATGTTAATTGAAGTGAATTATTACGATTATGCGATAATTTTCATCCGCTACGTATACATCAATCAATCAAATCCCAGGTTGATCATTAGCATTTACGTCGTGAAACTTGTCCAAAGAAGACGGATGCATCGACGAGACGCGCAAGAAGAAGCCGCCAACTTCTTCGGTCGCGAGACATTGTTGTGCCTCTAATCGCCACTCAACGAGCAACCGTTCACGCTAACGAAGCTTTAATCTACGAGCTACATACAATCGGCTAATTTTGCGGGAACGCCGCCAAGAGATTACGTGGCAATTAGCCAGTATAATCTATTAGATCGATGAATACGCGAGCATAAAGTCGAACGTTAGCTGATGCAAATTGACTAATGATCCATATCGTATATGCGTATATACGATAAATTGACAATTTTTTTGTTTGCTTCAAGGCCGCGAAGATCACAGTTTTTATTTTTATTAAGTTCCATTGACAGAAGAATCGATCTTATCATCTGACGTTCAAATACAAAAATGTTCTTTGATACGGGGTCTACAATGAAAGTCATAGCGATCATAGGGTTCTAAGTAGAAAATTGACTAATCATTGTTAATTATTCTTCTCATATTCGACGATAATTATAGTTAATTTTCTATAACTTAAGATCTTACTACGACCCGCGTAGAGATAGATCCCGCGTGATTACTCATTGTCAGATACCTATTTGCGATATCTTCTTTTCAAAAATTATATAATTCGATATATCATTCTGTTATAATAATAATCATTGTATTTTCACTTGATGATGTTTATTATGTTATTTTCTCATTGTTAGTAGCAGCATTCGAAAAGAAGAATTAAATGCAATCTTTTTTATATTAAGAATTATAAGTTTTATTGAATTTAATTCATAAATATATGAAGCATTTTAAATCGGCATTTCGTAGATTTTTTTATAATTATTTATTTATCTAAATTTGTTTAATCTAATTAGCATGTTTTATCGCTTTTCAGCATTCGACAATAAAATATTTGTACGTGACATTCTCAAAAAGTAAATTTTGCAAGAATTGACGTCGTCGCTTAACAACAATACAACTTTAAGCTTAAGTAAGTTTTAAATTAGTTACAATTAGTTACAAAATTGCGTTATGACGCAATGGTATATATATTTGTGAAATTTATGCAGAAGATAAGACATATCTATAATGCAGAAGTTATCTTTTAACCTCCGGTGATAAACAAGTTTTTTCAACAGACTTGTATAACTAGACTGCTCACTTTGATTATACATATATTTTGTATATAATAGAAAAAGACAAAAGTGACTAAAAAATCCTACTCTAATATCCAACTATGTACGCACATGTATGCGTATATGTGTGAATAAGAAGTACAGAAATGACAATTCATCGGGCATCAATTATTTAATATCAAACATGACGGTGAAGTGATCAGTTTAGTAATAGAAGTATGTTATGTTTCCAATGGAATTAATATAATAGATTCCATTAAAAATAGAGGAATATTAAATTAATTTTATATTAGGTGTAGTAAAAAGAAATCCATTATTTTTCCATTCAATTTCATGCAAAAATAATGGATTTCTTTTACTACACCTAATATATCACAAAAAAAGAAATATTTACATATTTATTTCTTTTGTGGATTTATCTATTATCGCTTAATCTACTCTATATAGTTTTGTATATTGTTTTATTGCGACAGCTTATTAGCCTTTATTTCTACGACTGAAATAATTCATCAACAAATGATTTTTCTTGCTAATCAACTTGCAAAATTACAATATCCATGCAATTCTTGTTTTACTTGTATCAGTGTTGATAAAGTTACACAATGGCGTATCATTTAAATATCGCAGAAGGAATTTTTCCTTAACTATGTTTAATTAATGCATTTATGAATTGAATCATTTACTCATTATTAGCAGAATTCAGATAATCGCGAACTGTCCCGCATCGCGATGTATCGAATGGATTTATTTTCACACTAATATATGATAAAGACTAATAATACGAGTTATCCAATAGCGACGAGTTGAAAGTCTAATCTTATGCCAACCGTTGAATAAATACTCTTGTTAAATGATCTTTCGCCGTTGAAATACGTTCGGTAAATACAGAGTTTCTGTAAGTAGTAGTGTCCGAATGTCAACGAAATCTTTCCCTGTATGTCTATATCAGAATAAATCAGATAAAAAATTTGTTCATGCCAGGAAGCTTTATCATCATTCGATATGTGATTTGATAAGATTTTTTATTTTGTCTGCCCAATTTTTACGTTGCTTCACAAGTGCTATACTTTTAATAAAATTTTATATAAATCGCAATATAATTATATCATAATGATAAAATGAAATAAAATTTGCGATAATAAAAAAGAAATAAAGAATACATATTATCAATATATATACGTATATCGTGCACATTAAAAAATATATTAATTTTTCTATTTTGTTGAAAATTGAACTAGTCCGAAATACATTCATATATAAAGTGAATAATATCGTAGCAATTTTTTTATATTCAATATTCATTCAGTAATTAATAAAGCGAAGATTTCAAAGTTGCAACAAGAATCTCATCAATTATATTGATATCTAGGTAGTCATCAGTTAGTTTCAATCATACAAAAATTCTTATCGCTCATATCGATATATTTCTTATCGTATGGATTAAATAAACATCTTATTTATTTTATTTTTATTATAAATCAGTCACACGTGCAGGCGAAATATAAGAAATTATATTATATCTTGAGATTAATCAGAAAAAATGTATATATGTGATCAATCTGTTCATACAAGCTAATAAATAGTTCGTTGATAAAAATAGTATTCCAGTTCTCGCGAATAGATGAAATAGAAAGAATCTTTAAAGTTATGTACTGCGATTTTAAGAAAAAATGTTTGTAGACAGGAGTTTCAAAATTAATGCATATCCTTAGAGATCACAAAAAGTCTTTATAAATTTTTCTCGTTGAACGAGATTATAATATACGAGATTGTACTATATTAATAGATAAAATTAGAATTTAATGTTACGTAAAAGCAAAAGAAATGACCACGAATTTAAAAATAGTTTCTTAATATTATTATAGTCCGATGGTAATGCGTAGTAATTTAAATGCTATTTAAATTCAATTTTGCTTCTATGTTTACACACTTTTCGGTTTATTTAAGTCGAATCATCTATCGTGCTTCATTGTTAATATTCATATAATTACATGGAGGAGAGAATTCGTCGTAATGAGCCCTTGTTCTGCAGTATACTATTATCATTTATTATTATATTATCATGAATCGTATTACAACGAATTGTATCTAACATATTCGTGTATATGGTACGTGGATATCAATTAGATTAATAATATAATTGTTCGTATTCAACCTACACATGTAATTATTTAAATTATCGCTAAATTTATGAGTAGAAGCTTTTGAAATATTTATATCCAAAAAAGATTAAAAAAAAAACAATTCTATATTAATCTAATATTTCTTTTTGTAACATATTTAATCATGAAAAGTTGAAATAATTAAATTTTATCTTAACGTCTCTAAATTAAAAATTGGAAGTGAAGATGATATCTGTTTTGATATTTAGATTATAGTCGATATGAAATTACTTACTTGACAACTTTATTTTTGTTTCTATCAATAATTGCCACAAGATAAATAATGAATAATTATATTTTCTAAATTTTTTGAAGTGAAATCTCCTTCCAAAAGAGTTAAAATTCTGAGTTGAAATCACTATTTAAGAACTATTAAAGAATGAAAAATTTACTTTTGAATAAAAATAGTAGATTTTTACTTTTTTTGAATAAAAAATTTCACACTTTTGGAGTTCTCTAAAAAAAAAAGAGATTTCTTTTCTTTTTTTAAGTGAATCTCACTCTCAAAAAAAGCGAAAATCTGCCATTCTTATTCAAAAGTGGAAATTTATCATTCTTTTTCAATAATGGCAGCATTTTAACTTTCTTGGAGTGAGATTTCACTCCAAGAAATTTGAAGCGTACCGGAAATTTTCTTTTCATATTGTCATATTGTCTATATATAAATCTAGATATATTTTGAAATATGTTGAATTATGTTGCATAAAATACATTAATAGCTTCACTTACAAATTCCGTTTTATTGTACCGTTTTATTATACTCAATTTTGCATTATTTGTGTAATATTTAATCGCTTGTCGAATTTGTTTTCTATTATAATAAATAACAAAATTAATTATTCCTAATTATCATCGCGAAGCAAAAAGATTTTTAATGAGACTCTTACCTTTGAAAATTTCCAAGAAACAAAGACGATTTTAATGAGAATATCTTACCTGCGCGAAAATCGTTCGGCGGCATGACGGAGTGTCTTTGATCCAAGAATCACAACACTATAAACACAAACGTTCTGGAAGACGGAACTCCGATAGTCTCTGGCGACGGAGAGTAAAATAGAGACACCCGTGCACTTCGTCGGCCCTCTTGTGGACTAGGAATGATCGTAACTCCGTTCTGTCGCGGAGGACACGTATGGCCTCTCTTCTCGCGATGTAATGAAGTATACAAACTCCCTACTTCTGCCGCTATTCGTTATTCATTCGCACGTAAATCAGGCGGGAACATTAATTTCAGAAAAGTGATCTCTCGCGGAGAAAAATATTGATATTTATATCACGCATCAACTAAAATTTTTAATAATACTAGAATAAAACACAAACCGCACGCTACACGCGGATTCGATTATGTGTGTGTGCGTGCGTGTGTGTATGTGTGTGTGTGCATGCGTGCGTGCGTGCGTGCGTGTGTGTATGTGTGTGTGTGTGTGTGTGTGTGTGTGTATGGTGTGTGTGTGTGTGTGTATGTGTGTGTTGTGTGTGTGATACATGATAGATTTTATTAATATTAAGAATGAATGGATTAAAAATTTATATATTTTTATATTTATTATATTCTTTATTTAAAGTTTTTTA